TAAAAAAAAAATTTAAAATTTAATTAATTAAGGTATACCTAACACAGTTTTGTTAAGATTATCTTGTTAAGATGGTGCTAAAAGAATAATTAAATTTGATATTTTAGAGAATACCCAGTTGGAAATGTCCCATCTTCTTTTAACTGATTCGATGGGCTTTGTTTATCGTAGGAGTTGCTAGTCTCCCTTTCATTGTATCCAAGAAAACGAGAAGAAAAACACCTATAATTAAGAAGCAAAAATCAAGAGATGGGTTTGATAGATAATTTTAGATTAGAGGTTGGAGGCAAATCCAAATTCTCCTTTAAAAATTCAGTGTTATCGAAGCTCACTTTGAAGTTTCAACCAGATTCTTTGATAGTCCAAGGACAGATTGTTATTCTCTTCTCATCGCTAGTTGCTTGATAATTTTAGATGGATCAATATTCTCTCTTAATTTATTAAAACTAATAGAAAAAAGTTTTTTAGTCCTTGAATATTTAAAATTTGATCAGACAAACCCTCTTAAGATTAGTTTTGATGAAATAAAATCTTCTATTTACTGATAATATATTCTATAAAATCAATTAATGTTGACACTAAATATATGAAGCAACAGTTGACTCTTCAAATTAAAAAAAATTCAGAAAGCAGTTTTTATTTTTTTTAATGAGCCCCACAATTTAAACTTCCTATTTGCATGCTATCATTGTTTTTCTATTGTAACTATTTTTTCAAAGTTGATATTTAAAATACTGTGATCAAACACTCCCTTGGTATGGGACTAATACATGACAAATTCATAACACTAAATAAATTAATAAAACACTCCCTTGGTATGGAACTAAATACTTAATTTAATATGGGTGTCATAATATATTCTTTACATTATCTTTATACAAATATTATTTACCTAAATTTACTAACGTCTAAAAGCTCTTAATTAAAAAAAAAATGAAAGAAAAGCTTGTAGAAAATTTATTTGAGGGAAAGGATGAAATATCATTTTTTTTAAAAAAATATATAACTTTATATCTTCATTTGATTTTTAGCACAAGATAATTCCAAAACATTTTTCCTGAAGAAGATTTATTTTGTGTGTGATGCTAAAATTATTTTACGCTGGTAGTTACAGAGGGACAACGAGTTGACCCAGAGCAGTCTGCATAAATAAGTAAGGATGATGATTTACCAATTAATAAAAATCTGTTCAATAAAAAAAATTTCAAGAAAGAAAAGAATTAGGTGCATTGGTTTTAGAAAGGTACATCGACCCCGGAATATTTATGTTTATAACAATAACCTTTGACCTGTTATTACTTGCTTTCTGGAGAAGGATACATTCAGAGCATTGAAAATTCAACAACCGCTTAACAAATTCTCCATGTTATCTTCAAATTCTTAGGAGTTGGTCCTTTGATTAGGACTCAAACGTGTTGATGATGGCACTATCTCAGATTGGCTTATCTGTGAATGTAGTTACGTAACATGTCAAAGGGACTGTTGATTTTCTCTGTATAAACTTGGACAAAGTTCAATGAGAAAAATCCACAACGTGGTCAGCACGAAAATTTTCCATCGGTGTGTAAACAATGAGATCGATATTTTGACTTGATGCGAGCTTGAAGTTATGACGAGGAGGAAATTTTGTGTCCATGCTTTAAGGAAGGCTCAAGATCTCTTTGATAAATCTAGGCCACTGAGACAAATGGTGCGCGTTACGATAGAATAGACAATGGAGAGAATGGAGGAGGTGCAAAGAAAGCTTCAAGAAGCGGCTGTTGAAGGAAATGTAACTTCCTTGCTTATATTGCTTCAGGAAGATAAACTTTTTCTTGATAGATGTGCTGTTACATGTCCAGCAGAGACGCCTCTGCACATAGCTGCCATGCTTGGACACTTGGAATTCACGAGAGAAATTCTTTGTCGAAAGCCTGAATTGGTCAAAGAGCTAGACTTGCATAGATCATCTCCGCTTCATTTGGCTACAGAAAATGGTCACCTTGAAGTAGTGAAAGTATTGTTATTGGTGGAAGCGGATCTATGCCTTGTTAAAGATCGAAATGGATGGAACCCTCTTCATGTTGCAGTGATCAAAGGCCGAATTGATGTCTTGAAAGAGCTGGTTCAAGCCAAACCTGATGCCATTCGAACCAGAGGTCAGCGAGGCGAAACCATCCTGCATCTCTGTGTCAAACACTACCAATTGGAGGCAATGAAATTCTTGGTAGGGATCACAATTGCTGACACTGAATTTGTAAATTCAGAGGATGATGATGGCTTCACTATCCTACACCTAGCAGTAGCTGATAGAGAAATTGAGGTATGAGAAAGAATAACTTTTCGAACTGCCGTAGCCTTTAGGCTCAAATGCTTTGACCTCTTATTTTCTCAGCACCTTGAATCATGACCCATTATAGTTTCACCTACAATTAGCAACTAGTCATTTTGTTTAAGATTACTTGTCTTCCAGTCCTGTTCTGTTTGCCAAATTGGAAAGCACGGTGATCCGCAATCGGCATCATTGGCGAACAAAGGTTTTGTACCAGAAAACTGTTGGGCATTTTTTTTTTAATTAAACCAGCTCTAATACACAGGAGCTTGATTAAGAAACAATGTAATCTTTCCCGATGCTCTTCTGGTGTGCTAAAACTTGTTTATCTGCTCCTTCTGACTTGGTAGCAAAATCAATTTTCAGGTCATAAATTTTCTCATCTCCGAAAGTCCAATACAAGTAAACGCACTGAACGCAAATGGCTTCACAGCTTTGGACATTGTGTTAGCACAAGGCAGAAGAAACATCAAAGATATAGACATTCAAAACACTCTTAGAGAAGGTGGAGCTATAAGTTCCAAGGACATGCCATCAACAATGCACGGATTGGATGCCATCAGGCCCAGTAACTCCACAACTCTAAATGAGAGGTATTGTTGGAGGAAGAAAAACTGGCTGGAAGAAAGGAGAAATGCATTAATGGTGGTTGCATCACTAATTGCAACCATGGCTTTCCAAGCTGGAATTAGTCCACCCAATGGTAATTGGCAAGAAGACCTACAACAACCACCTTCACAATCACATGAAGCTGGTCGGTCCATAATGGCTGATAAAATGCCAGATGATTTTGCTTTTTTTGTGGGGTACAACACCACAAGTTTTCTAGCATCCATCAGTGTGATCATATTATTGATTAGTGGGCTACCATTCAAATGGAGGATTTTCATGTGGATTTTGATGATTATCATGTGGATCGCACTTATAGCAACTATCTGGACATACTACATCTCTATATCTTGTTTGTCTAGCCGTCGGGGTGAAAGTACTACAGCCAAAGCTGGCGCCGTTGTTGTATTTTTTGGAGTGATGGGCATTGTTCTTATAGGACATTCCATCCGTCTAATATGCAAAATTGTCACGTTTGCAAGAAGGTCGAGAGCAAGGAGATTTTCACGATCAACAACCATAACTCACGCCAACATTTAATTTGTATATGCAGTTTTGTATCAGGGAATTAATCTCTTTTTTTTTTCAGGGCCAACATTGAGACTGAGTCAGAGAAATTTTTTCTTGATTCTAGCCTAAATATTAGTATGTAATTAAGACCTAGATACTACTATCTGCTCTATATAAATTAGTTCTATGTATCAATGAAAAGATAAGCCTTTACACGTATTTATAACATGGTAGCAAAGCAGAGATACTAGATTCTACGAAAATCTCGCTGGTGACTTGAGTCTTCTGAAGTGGAGTGCACATGTAGCTCACGCGCAATTTAAATAACCTGGAAAAACCTAAACACACAACATCAATCCGTAGCCCATATTTTTCCATTTCACTTGGGTGTGTCTCATTGTTGGTGTTATGGGCAAAATCGAGAGGGTGATAGTGATTGTTGTGGTTGGCTTAGTGAGATCGATGGTGAGAAGATGAGCTGGGCTTGGGTGGTTTTCGATGACGGGGATGAGAGGATATGCTTGGGTTTGTGGGGGTTTGATGGTGGCAGCGCGAAGGGGGACCTGCCTACTGATTTCGACGGTGGTTCCTAAGGTTTGTGAGAGGGAGGTTCACACAGTGGTTGATGGTTGTAGAATGCATATATGGTGGCTCATGGCTGTGGGATTTGGAGACTGAGAGTCACTGTGGTTTTTGAACTGGGCTTTTCTGGGTAGGGCTGGCTAGGAATATGCTGCAATGAGCTGTTGCTTGGATGAAGGGCTGGAATTTATAGGTGTTTGCTGGGTTTTGGATGTTTGAAGGCACTGGTAGTGTTGGGAACTAATTAATGTGAAACTGAAATTTGTCCGAGAGAGATGGTAGTAGCTGTGTTTGTACTGGTATGAATTGATTTGGGACTAAATTGAATTAAATCAGTTTAATTAGACTTCATTGGTATGAATTGACTAGATTGAAACAAATAGGACCGAAATGAAGTTACATAAATCGATTTAACTGGTCCTCTAAATATTTCTTCCTTTTCATTACAGTCCTTCACTTCATTCAATTAGGGCTTTAAATCTTGAATTTTATCTCAATTTAATCCCTAAATCAAATCTTTTCAATTTAGTCTCGTGAATTTAGTCCTTGTTTCTTAAATTCTTGCCATTTCAACTAAATTTGTCCTGGATCCCCCTTTTCTTTTCAATTACTTGGATCAATTTAGACTTCTATATTTAATTAATTGTTGTAAATTCATTATTAACACTCAAAATTGTGTAATTTCGACCGATCCAACTTCTAATTTTGACTAAACAAGACCCTAAGTCTAAACAAGATACGTGTTTTTTTGTTTTCCCTATTCAATTCCTTGGTCGTTGAACTTTTAACATGTAAAAGGGGTAACTTCTGCATGGAGAACACCAAATGTTTAATTATAATTTCTTTTTTTAATGTATAGTTTTTTATTATATCGATTTGGAATCCGGACAATTTGTATCTGTCGACTGGATCCCTCTTTAGAACTTTTCAACTAAAAACATAAAATTAACTACAAAATGGAATAAAATAAAGAAGAATGCCCCACAAGATACAATTAGTATTTTTTTATAAGAAGATTGTGTACAGATACAACATTAGTGTGAATCACTCAAACAAAATTCGACGATCAGTTGGCGCCATTAACCTTCTTCCAAACTTGACAATCTTGGGGATCAAGCGGGCAGAGTGCCCCACAAGAAGAACGCTCAACAATCCAAGAATCACCACACTGAGTACAACCACGGTCACAATGTAAGTCCTACGCTGATGAAGGCTAGACAGACAGTATATGGAAATCAAGTAAGTAAAAGTTGATTCGGTGATTGCAACCCACATGATCGCCGTCAGAATCCACATTGAAAATCTCCACCTAAATGGTAAGCCACTTATCAGCAACAAGATCACACCGAGAGATGCTAGAAAAGCTATGGAGTTGTGCAAAACAAATTTATTATAAGCAGCTGGGAACTTATCAGCCATTATGGACCGGCCAGCTTCATGTTCATTTGATGCTGCCCCCTGTAAATCCTGTTGCCAAAGACCACCTGGTGGACTAATCCCAGCTTGGAAAGCCATGGTTGCGATGAGGGATGCCACTATCATTAACGCATTTCGCTTTTCTCCCAACCCATAGCTCTGTCCCCTTGGATACTTCCTTTTCAACCGCGACTGTAAGCTTGTAAAATGATCTTCTGATCGTAAGTTCATGGCCCCAACAGCTTCCAATCCGTGCACTGTTGAAGAGAGGCCTCTTGCACTTGAAGCCCCTACTTGGTGAAGGGAATCCTGGACGTCTACATCTTTCCAATTTCTTCGACCCTGTGCTAAGGCAATGTCTAGCGCTGTGAAACCACTAGCATTGATCGCGTTTACCTCTATCTCGGTTTTCATGGTCAGAAAACTTATGATCTGAAAATTTGTCTTTTCAAGTTATTATGGGCACCAAAAAACTTTCGATTAACATTTTCAATCGTGTCAGATACTCCTCTAGTTAATCTTCCTTAATCTAGTTATATGCAAGTTCTTTGTGGAGTGTGAAACACCGGATTCTTCTTACTCCTGTGTCTAACAAGTTCTTGTTAATTTTTTAATTTAAAATCTACACTCTTCATGTCACGCTAGAGTCATAAAGGGATTGTAGTGTTTAGTAGTTGGAGAAATCTATTCTCATACCTCAATTTCTTTATCGGCTACCGCTAAGTGCAGGACAGTTGAGCCATCATCGTCTTTAGAATTTATAAAACCATAGTCTTCGATTGTCTCGACCAGGAGCTTCAATGCCTCCAATTGGAAGTGTTTGACACATAGATGTAGGACGGTCTCACCCCGTGCAGTCCGATGAAGAACAGCTTCGGGTTTGTTTTGAACCAATTCTTTCAAGACATCAACTCGGCCTTTGATCACAGCAATATGAAGTGGGTTCCGGCCATCTCGATTCTGAGCAAAGCACATGTCAGGGTTGACCGACAGCAGTGCTCTCACCACATCAAGGTGCCCATTTGCTGTTGCCAAGTGAAGTGGAGATGATCCAAGGAAATCGAGTTCTTTTGCGAATTCAGGCTTTCGACATAAGATTTTTCTTGTAAATTCCAAGTGTCCAAGCATGGCAGATATGTGCAGAGGTGTCTCTGGAAGACAATCTGTAGCACATCCATCAAGGACAAGCTTATCTTCTTCAAGCAATTTCAGCAAGGCAATTACATTCCCTTCCACCGCTGCTTCTTTGAGTCTTCTTTGCATCTCCTCCATAGTTCCCTCCAATCCTATCTTTATGAGTACCATTTGTTTCAGTCCCCTCGATTTACGAGGATGATTAGTCTTACGACTCTTCAATAATAGGAGAGCAAATTATTTATTTGTCTGAAAAGAAATTTCTACTAAGTCAAGACTCAAGACTCTGAAAAGAAATTTCTACGAAGTCAAGACTCAAGACTTCAAAGCGTGCTATTCAGCATAAAACATAAAATAAGTCTTAGACGAAATGTTTGAATATATCAATAAAATTGTGTATCAGAATTTGAAATTCGCATCTGTTCTTGTTGACTGCTCAACCAACCCAGAAAAGAGGTAGCTTGACTCCAACTTTATTAAGTGGACCTAACTATAAAAATTCTTAAGAGAAAGTATACTGAAATAGAAAAATTTTCAGGTATGTTATTAAGTCTTTTACATAGTGTTTTGCTTTTTTAGAATAATGATAGTAATTATTCATTTGTTAAATTTATAATTAAAATAAAGTTTTTAATTAAAAAAAAAGAAGTAAAAGTCATCGATTTTTCACTTAAGCCATATGAGTTGAATCACTTTAAGGTATTTCTCTCTGTTTATTTTTTCATTGTTATTTTTTTTTCAATTTGATCTTTCAATGTTGTATTTAATGTTGTGTTGATTGAAAATTAAAATTGATAATTTATTTTAATTTACTTTTATCTAGTTACCGTGGTCTTATAAAAACATTTTAGTAATAGCTTAGTGCTCGATTTCACAAAACAAAAATTATTTTTTTTATTTGTAAAAAAATTAAAAATGTGAGGAAAAAAATAAAAAAATAATAGTCCTTTTTTTAAAAAAATAATATAAGTTCTGATCTTTTTTTTTTGTTTTGTTTTTTCATCATTTTTTTATTGTTGATTTTTTTTATATTGTTTTCATTGAGATTTAGAATTTGTTTTGATATATTTTTGATATAATTATCTTGATCTAAAAAAACTCTTGTAATTGGGTTGAGACTTAGTTTCACAATAAATCCAATTTTAGTATTTGAGAAAAATAAAAAATGGGGGGACCATAACTAAAATAGAGAAATAATAGAAGGCCTAAAAAAAAATTTATTTATGCCTCAATGCTTTTTGAGATTTTGTAAAATAAATTTGGTCCATTTAGTTTGGAAAATAAATATTTTGGTTTAAAATTTTATTTTTCTTGCACTTTAATCTCTAATTTTAAGAAAAGTAAAAATAAGTTATCATGAAATGGTGAAGGAAAGAGAAAGTTTGTGATAAACTACTTCTCAACAACGAAACTCATTGTTCTCAATGTCAACATGTTCTATTTGATAAGTAAAATTTCTTTTAGATTTTTTTTTATATTGCCCCAAAAAAATAGATCAAAGATTAAGAATATTTTTAGATTGAAGCTATTTTTTTTTAAAGATTGAATGTTACTTAAAGACCATAAACAGATTTATAGAAGTCCCTGTTCAATTGAAAAAAATGATGAAAATTATTTTCTAGCTTAGTGTTAGCTAGAATTTGGAACAATAAACGATATGTCGCCTACTATATTAAAATAAAAAAAAAGTGAATGACATTAAAGAGAGAGAGAGAGAGAAAAAAGGTCAAACATGTTGGGCTAGCAGGTTTAACAAAAAAAAAATTGATTTTTTTATTTGTAAAAAATTAAAAATAAGAGGATCAAAACTAAATAAAGAATAAAAAATAGTACTCCTTTTGTTTTTTTAAAAGAAAATAGTGCCAACCCTGGTCCTTTTTTTTGTTTTTCTTTTGATCATCAATCCTTTTTATTCTCGATTTGTTTATTCAATGTTGTTTTCATTGGATTTAGTATTTATAATTTATTTTGATCTATTTTTTATATAGTTATCTCGATTTAAAAATATATTTTCATTGGATTGAGGCTTTATTTCATGAAAAATAATCTAAATTATTATTTGAGAAAAATAAAAATGAAGGGGACCAAAACTAAAACAGAAAACAATGAAAGGCCTTATTAAAAACACAAGTGTTTGCGTCTCATTGCATCGAAGCAGAAACCATCTAAGTAAGGCTTAGTACTCGGCCCACAAACAAATATTAAAAGACCATCTCCACAAACTTTAAAAATCAACCCACCCTTAGTTCAAAACAAAGAGCTAAAAACGTTAACAATCAGCCCACCCTTAGTTACAAACATGCATCACTAAAAAGCCTGCAACCCTGTTCCTGTCATTTTTCTTGAATCTCTTTATGCTCATAGCAACCCTTTTTAAACTCAATATTCTTTTATAGTACACACTTCATGATCTTAGCATAAAAATTTAAACACAATCCCCAAAAAAGATTTTTTTAAATATAAAATTAGCATACAAAATGTAAAAATTTGGCAAAATAACACCGTTTCAAAGCTCAACATGATCAAATTATACTCTAATTCCTTAAGCGGTCGACTCTTTATACAAAACCATAATTTTATGATCTTTTTTAAATATATTTTATGAGTCAAAATATACATCCCTATCCAACTTGTAGACTAAAAAATAAAATAAAATTAAAATCTCAAATTATTATTATCAACATAATAATGAGTAATTCTGAGTATTTAGATGTAAGTTTGTCATAACTAAATAAGTATCTACTCTAAACAGATACTATGGATGGCCTAACAGGTACACTTATGATCCAACGAGACACATTTAGGCTGAAGAGAAGGTCTAGTTACGTTAGACAAGAATAACAACTCAAAAATACCATAGCTTTTAACCCGATCATTAGGTCGCACTTAAATTTTTATAGGAGTTTTCAAAGGTTATTTTTCTTATGGTATCCATTTTGTTGTTATGTGGGTCGTTGAATATTTAGATATTAAAAATCTCATTAAAACCCTCTGGTTTTGGTAATTTTGAGATTTTTCTTGTTATTTTTGGAGCCAGTTGATTAATTTCCTGGCCAATATGAATCAGTCGACCAATTGAGTCAGAAATAGCATAGTGTGACTATATCGCATTTCAAAAATATTATATTTACTAAATATCATTATTTTAAAGTATGGCATGGTCAAACTGTGCTATTTGGCCAAAATATTTTGCTCCCATGTCAATTCGTCATTTTTTTTTAATTTTTTATGCTAATTACCTAATTTATCCAAAAACAATGATCAAAGGTTGATGACATAAAGATTGAACATTGGAACAATGATGAAACTTAACATAAAAAAGGTAGAACCTTTATACTTGTCAATATGGTTTCTTTCCCAGAAAAAAACAATCCACGATATACCTTTCTTTGTGAAACCAATGTTAGAGCAAGTGAGTAAACTACAAAGGTTTGCATTCTTAAAGTTATAAGGATTGTTCCAATAATGTCTTCTTTTTAGTTATTTTTCTTTTTATTGGGGATGGCTCGGGGTTCAAGGTTAAAAGTGGTGGTAGATGCATTTTTTTTTTTACAATGAAGAGATGAGGTTGGTATTACTCTAACCAAACAGAAAGAGTTGGCAATCAGTCCTTTTTTTCAAGAAAGGTTTTCATGTGGTTTTATAAGGGAAGGTAGGTTTGTTAAATTTGAACGTCTTGATGCTTCAAGAAGGATGGAAGCCCTTGGTTGAAGATAATAACAAAGGTTCATTATGTCCTAAATATGGTGGGAGGAAGATACTTATAGTCCTGTTGTTTTTAGACTCTTAAAAATTTGTATTTATTATGTTAATGGAGCATCGTAGGGATAAAGGAAACATATCACACCTTTAAATTTAAAGGAGGTCATCTAGGTTGTGATTTGGGAAAGATTTGGTCTATTTTGATGAAAATATCAAGTTAAACCATGATTGTTTAGGTGGCTACTTGGGGTAGATATTTTGGTTCAAAATTGGATAAAGCAATGAGGGAGACAATAAATGGTATCAGATAATAACTTGTTTGATTTTTTCTCTTTTATTTTTTATTTGAATACATAGAAACAACATTATTTCTTCCTAATACACACAGCTTTATCCCAAAACACACTTTCATTAAAGATAAAACGATGTTGTTTCTTCAACTTATGTTAACTAGGTTTTTTTGCCTTTTTTATCAAGTTAATTCTACTCCCTATTTTTCTTATAATTTTACAATCACATCCTCAATTTGTTCCAATCTTAGGGAAGCTTTTCAATTGTATCATTGACCTTTCTTAATTAAGCCTTCATACTTCAGCACATTTTACATCACGATCATAGTCTTAAAATTCTTCAATTTCATCCTTAATAAGCTCTTTGAACTTTTAATTCTTTTGATTTTACCTCGATTAAATCAATTAGCCCTTTATAACTTCAACACCCATTGATTTTAGTCCTATAATCTTTAACTCTTGTAATATTGACTTGAATTAACTTCAAAACTTATATTTTTATTCAATTAAATTCTTATGCTTAATGATTCTCCTAATTTTAGTCAAGTTGACTTCCAAACTTTATTTTTCTTTTATTTTAGCCTATGATTAAGCCAATTAATCTCTTTAAAGTTCAATCGGGCCCTTGGCTTTTTTATTTTTTTTCAATTTTACCCTTATCTTTAACTTTCTTCATAATTAAGCCCTCTTCTACCAAAATTAGACTACAAAAATTTGCAACCATGTCTATGCTGTTACTCAAACTTTCAATTTATGCAATCTTAACCAATTTTCAATCGATTAAATATTTCTTTAGCAAGACCCCAAATTATCCATCAACTTGATATTTTGACTAACTATGAATTATATATTTGTCTGGTTGTGATCTAAAGTATTATTATCATTATTATTTTCTATTTTCTTTTCCTTTTTTTCTTCAAAGAAAATATTTTCTACTTAAAAATTATAAAGTTTCTAGAGAACTCATAATAAGGTTATGATATTTTTTTCTCTTAGTATCACCACTGACAAAAGAAGTTCACTATTGAAATAGCTTGTCCATAGAGACACCAAAGGGTTGTAAAAAATAAGGTTTTTGTTTTTAATAATATTTTTGAAATATTATTTGTATTATCAATTCCAAGAGAAGTTGTTGTGGATGGTCTACTAATAATTATTTAAACCAAGTTTCCATGTAAGTTAGGAATTAGTGTCTTAGAAGAAAAAGGATTTAGAATCCTTAGTAAACTAGTATTTAGAATTCTT